AGCCATCTGTGAACAGACTGTCCAGAAAATGTGGAGCCTCAACATCTCACAACCTTCTGGGCCTCCACGGCCCATCATTCAGAAGAGTTGTGATCACAGTGCAGCACTATGAGAGAGATGTAAACATCTTCTACAACATATCCTAGAATAGAGAAATAATGTAATAACACTTGCTCAAGGGTGTTAATCACAGAGCAACCTTTGCTGAGCCTTCTCCAACAGATGACTATATTCAGAAATATCCTCACTTCTCCGTGACAATTGGATGATTCTCCATTATGTACAAGGCAGCAAAATAAGATTCATTTCCTGTATACACTGCCATTTTAAACTTTTATCTGGTGCACATCAAGTGGTGGAACAGGCATGTCAGCAGCAACAGAGCATAAAATCTCCATCCTAACAAGAACTTGTGTTATTTCATGTTATAATACATATACATAATAGTTTCATCCCTGTCAATACTGCCATTTATTTGCAAAGTCAAGCTTAACTCATTCTTAGCTTTTAAACAAAAACAAAAGCAAATTATCTTAAAGTGTTCTGCCAGGCAGGAAAGGAAACGCGTGCTATTTCTGTTTTACAAATTCCATCATGAGGTTGGTAACACTACAGACAATAATGGGTGGAAGAACAGCACAATATAATTTTATCAGTTTAGAGACACGATTAAATTAAAGCTAAATTTAATATGATGCAAAGGTCTGTTTTGACAAGGCAAGGAATAGTAGCTTCTGTGTATGTACCATGCCACAAGGCATGTACAGGAGTCNATGCATTCTAGATGACAAAACTGCTGTTTAGTGGGCAGCTTCAAATTCTTGACATAATCCAAGAGAAAGATGCTCTGGTACCTACCGCATGTTCTGGATTCCTGGAGGGGAGTGATAATAAATTCCTTGCTAGTAACTAAAACTGAGTTATTCAGCCCTAACTAGTCACTGTACTGACTGAGCTATCATGGCTCTGTTTTTCTTTCCAATGCATAGCCTAAAGATCTAGAAATTAAACCACTGGCCTCCTTACTTCATTTTTCTTAAAACAAATGTTTTGTTATGTATTTCCCAGTATGGTTGAAAATAAATTGAAAGGCTGTATGTTGCAATAAAGTGATAAGTATTTCTGGTTTATATTTGAGAGGTGCTGGGTTGAAGCACTGGCTTGGAGATTGGCTGTCCTGACTGAGGTTTTTCCTGGTGCTCTTCAGTCTTACCAGGCAAATGACGGGACAGCACCTCACATTAAGCTATGACCACTTATTTCCACATCCTGTCCAATTCGCTATCAATGCAATGATTATATAATTCATGATTATGTAATCTGTGCTATGGACAAGGCTGTTAAGTAAATAAGAATTAATAAACAAAGAAACGGAAATCGCCTGTGCCAACTGAAGACCTTTTCTAACAAAGCACGGAGAAGTTCATGTGTTTGCTCACAGTGCACCGTGAAATGTAAATATTCAAGTGCAGACACGATGCCCTGTGCTCATTAGAAAGAACTGTTTTAAATTATATAGAATTTCACCAGTCAGACACTTAAATTTAAACGCATGAAAACAGGAGGGCAAATGAACAAATGGAACCTGTAACTACAGCTACTGTTATGCACAGAAACGAATGATTTTTTGACTAAGTAGTTTGGAATTGTTTTCAGTATATGAACCTCTCTCTGAAACCCATACCTTGAACCTGAAGATGGACAATGCGTTCTGCTCTTCCATATGGATTTTTGGCAATGCAAGTGAATGTTCCACTGTCCGACTTTGCCGTATCGGTGATGTGTAGTTCTGATAAATATCCGCCTTTCACAGGTGTTCCCTTCACCTCATATCTACAAATAAAAGGCATATCAGGTCTGCCTCTTGAAGTTACAAATTTGGTTCAAAAAGTCCCAAATTTTACACCTGTCAACTGACTATGTAACGCACTGATCTCCCATACACTCCCTCTAGTCAAGATTGTGCTGCTAAAAATTTCTGTTGATTCGTTTCACATGCATGATACATATTTAAATGATCTTAGCTACTCATGATTCAGTCAACATTATCATTCCCAGTTCTCTTGCAGGAACACAGAACCCAGATCATGTTCTTGGCTGATATCTAAACCAATTCCATGCTTTGTCTTTACTTACTGCTTCTACCTTGATTGTTCTCTGCCAAGTTTTTCTTGGTTTTCCTCCACTTCTACTCCTTTGAAAATATCAGTCCAATGCATCACTTCTACCAGTCCTTTACTTTTTGATATTGTGTGTCCAAATTATTTCCATCTCCTTTTGATATCCATGATAATATTCTGGGGAACTCTTCACATAGTGTAAAAATTTTTAAGATACAAAAAGATATAATTAGAATCATTACAGGACACAGAAGTAGAGATTCATGTAGAGATTTATTTAAGAAATTAAAAATTCTACCTCTTCAATCACAATATATACTATCACTTCTCTTATTTGTTATGTACAAAAAAAATAAATTTGAATTAAATTCCAATATCCATAACATGAATACTAGACAAAAATATAACTTCCATCTATCTTCATCAAACTTATCACTATATCAAAAAGGAGTCTACTTTTCTCGCATAAAAGTGTACAATAGTCTCCCACAAAGTATCAGAAACTTGAGTAATGATACTAAACATTTAAAATCAGAGCTAAAGAATTCTCTGCAAGCTCATTCCTTCTACTCTGCAGACGAATACCTCAATGTAAACAGACAATAATGTACAATTAAGCTATATTAGTTTAAGATAGAATTACTTGTACCAGTGGGTATTCTTTTGACTTGTTCTATATCCAAAGGTATTAACCTGCTTAGGGTTTATGGAATGCAAATAAATTCAATTCATTCATATCGTACTTACTGATTTCTGGTCACCTAATATTTAGACTTCCCCTGCAGTGGAAAGGTCTGAAATTTATTATCATGAATTTGACTTGTAATAATATTAGAATGCCAGTACAAATTGTGACTGTCATAAGTTGAATCCTGTATGTGTAAACTTAACAACTATATATACATTACAGATACACAATTTGAAGATTCTGCCAAACTGTAGAATGTGTCAGTATGTAATTTCCCAAATTCTTCCATCATTTCAGCTCTTGTAGGCCTAAATATTTTCGTTTAGTTTTCTTCTCACTTGCTCTCATACAAGACTTCCACCAGAATGAGAGACAAAATTGACAACAAAAATTGAATTATATGCAGAATACTGGGGGAAACCTGTGTGGTGATAAAAATTCAGCCATATAGCAGATAAAAAAAATTCTTGACAATGGTGTTTCTTGCAACTGAGAAAGAAAGCTTATGTACAGATTTTCCATTTCAGTTCAGTATCAGAAGCACGGTAAAATGTTACATTTGTCCATTTTATGCAACATTTTATGCTATGTCTGTTTTGAGGTAAGCACAATACATTATTTAGTTTGTGTATTTTTATTCATCATAAAAATGTGTGTACCCTAATTGTAATTGTAAACTTTAGTTTATTATGATAAAATCAATTGATTCCCTGTGAATGTTAATGGGCCTATCCACCATGACACATATTATTATTATTTTTGAACAATGACTTTTTGCATATTTAATCAGATGCACTTTTACTTGCAACAAAATGTTTCCATTTAAATGATACTGTATTTGGCATTGGAATTTCTTTACAGAATTTATTTAAGAGAGAGTTTCAAACCTTCTGCCTGCATGTTGCTTTCACACTGCGAATTACTGGAATTTAACATGTAGAGTGACTCATCATTTCTTTATCCCACGCCACCACAGTTTTTATGTTATGTATCTCAGACCACCTTTTTGAGACTTACAATTTTTTTCACTCTACTGTGGATTGTCACCACTGACAAGGGGTGTAGTTTTACCACAGACAGAGACAATGTTGATGCCATGGTAGCTAAGGCAAATGTTCTGCACACACAGTGATGTCCTCTGTGAGAGCATGTTAAGCACAGTTTACTACATGATTTGATAATGAAAGGAAATAATGTCCTTTAAAAGAAAGTAATTTCAGATATACGGAGGTAAAATCGTCGGCCAAAGAGATCAGTTAGAAAATAACATTCTGCATAAATCTCCACTAGCACTAATGGTGAATTAATAAGAGTATAATTTCTCCCATTCAGAACTTAATTTCAAATTCAGAAGTTGTTGCTTCTGTTCTGACAGGAATTACCTGGGCTGAAGAAGAGCGGGAAACCGAACGCCTTCACGTTGCCACTCTATACTCATGGGGCCGTCTCCTATGGCTTGGCACTGTAAAGTCTGTGACGAACCTCGGCGGACACTAGACTGAGCCGACTTGACTTCAAATTCAGGGGGAACTGAAGAAGATGGATGGATATTAGTTCCATAAATTTTACTTCCAGAGACAGAATAATAGCTAAATTCTATTAATGACTGAAAATATATAATAAAAAACATTTAATGCAACTTACTAATTTATAATTAATTTTAAATATAAACACACAATACAGCATATATGAGGTGAACAGATCTTGTCTTCACCTTAAAAACAAAATAACGTTCTTATGTCTTTCACAATTGCAATGACACTTCATCTCAAAGATTTAGAAATTTACTCTCCACTCACATAACAGATGGTTGACATATGCAGTATTCTGGTGTGAAACGATATATATGCACTGGCAAAAAAAGATGAAATGTCTACAAGTTATTAAAAATTAAGAGAACTGTGAATAAAATACATGAGGTTCACTTAATGAAATCAAGCGAGTAACTGAAAATTAAAGTCAACACGTAAGATGCGTGACAAAATGGAAAAAGTACGGACATGTCATAAACAAGGGCATGCATGCAATAATGTGCAGAATCTGACATAGCAGGGGAGCAGCGGGTGGCAGACACCTCCCCTTTCCACTATGAAGTAAATCGTAAATAATCAAAATTTTAATATCACTGAGAAAGTTTGAATGGCAAAACAATGTTAAAATACCTGCAATGAGCATAAAAAGTACACAGAGGTCATGTAAAAGGTCTTATGTGACAAAAGCCTTACTGAACAGAGTTATGAAAAATACTTCAAAAATCACTTTCTTTTGAAAATACTGTTTCATGTAGCATCCTTACCATGTACAATCAAGGAGACAACTGCGCTGAGGCCTGCCCCAACACCATTGATGGCTTCACACAAATACTGACCTTGGTGCTCTTGCAATACAGGTTGTATCAGGAGTGTGCCATTTGGAAAAATCTGTACACCTCTACCATGGATCGACAAATCCTGGTATTCATTCGGCTGCCTTCCTGGACCCAAATTACCTGAATTATCCATGCTGTTTGACTTAAATAATCCTAATGTATGAGTGCCTGATCCTAATCACAAAGATAGGATTCTCATGTTCTATTGCAGACCAATGTCTTCAAATTCATGTATTATGCATTTTTAATAAAAATTTCACACTTGGTAGACTGACTGAAATATGTAGCAAAATACCACAGTTAATTACTATTTATTGGTTTGTTATAATTAGCTGCAACAAAATATTTGAGGCTGTGAAAGGGTGTCAAAATATTTAGTGAAATGAAAGTGAAACTAGTCCAGCTAGCAGAAAATTTTTTTCTGAACACATGATCCCCCATTTGTTATGTTTATTTTGTATGAATCCATGGACTGTTCGCATAAACCTGACAGTGGACTAGAATGTGGTTTTCCAAATGTCTGCCTAAATTCAAAATAGTACCACTTACAGTGAATTTATTTAAATGTGTGACACCCTGCGAGGTCTAACATTAAGTACTTTTGTTTGGGTTTAAGATTTTGTGAATTTGCCAGAGGACCAGCTATATCATAGGTATGCAGTAAAAATGTGGTATAAATGGCTTCTCACCAATTACTTTCCTCCAAGTCAAAGTTGGGGTTGGGAAACCTTCAGCCTGGCAATGGAAGATAACTGAATCATCCCTTGTGACATTACGATCCCTTGGCTCCAACACCCAGCGTGGTGGAACTGTAACATGGGGTCTTGAATTAAGAAAGGAGTTTTCAAATATCTTTTTATGAGCCCGATCTCAGTTGTTTCGGCATCATTGTTAATTTGTCATTCTATGTACAAGACAGTCAAAAGTAAAGGCAATTTTTGTTTACATTACAAGTGATGGTGGTAATACTGAAATGGATGAGGGATTTCATTGTTTTTTCTGATGGTGAGTAATATTTGGGGGGGGGGACAAGGATGATGTTTCCCTTTCCCCAGATCTCATCCTTGCCTGAATCACTCCTACATCTTTATTGCAACATTCCCATACACCTAACTCAGCCCTACCTAAGGGCTCTTTGGGGCACAAAGAAATTTCTCCTAAATTCGCAGACCTGCCAAGAATTCACATGCTCTTTAGATACTAGAGAGAGATTGGGATGATGGACTAAAACAACTCATTCATCCTATCACTGTACTACTATTTTACTACATTTATACCTTACAGAAAATAGCACTGCATCTATTGACAACAAAATTAACTCTTGAACTTATTAACTGCATTTTTCCTGACATACAAATTCTCCGTGGCTAACACGGATCAATGTATTCACCAGAGGCAAAGAAAAAGTGGCACAGCTTCCAGCCATGCCTCAGATGACACCATCTTCCAGTTTTCAGTACATTAAACCTCTGTCAGAATAACATCGGAAAATGTGCTCTCCCTCATGACCTACTGTGAAGATGCTGCCAGCTTCCACCCTTCTACCTCACCAGCCTTTCTGCTGCTTTGTGTCATTGCTTGCTCTGGCTTATGTCCCCAAGATTACTACAATATTACTCAATAGAATTATGTGCTGTTTAATTGCAACACATGTGTTATAACCATGTAAACATTTCGTTTCAAAAGTTGCTTTACATATGTAGTTACTGGGAGTGTTTAACACAGTTGGCAACAAATTATATGATCTGCATTTTGTCAACAGAGAATCTGAAAAGTAATGGAATTCATAAAAGGATGACACTTCAGCCAAACTGTAACAACACGAGCCAAAAGAAAGCTAATGAATGGGACAAAGTATTCAAAGGATTGTGAATCAGTGATGTCGATGACAGGTGGATCTTGTGGCCAAACAAAATACGAGGGTAAGTCAATAACTAAGTTACAAATGGATATACAACTTAAACAAATAAGAGTACTGATTTGAAAAATGCTTTTATTTCTCAACATAATCTCTCTGTATATTGAGGCACTTTCCCCACCCATCCTTTCACAAGCCCCTGAAAACCAGCAGCATAGAATTCTTTGGGCTGCTGTCGGAACCAGGCAGTAACTTCCCTTTCTACAGCTTCATCGTGGCGAAAATGTTCAGCCGAAAGATGATGTTTAAGAGGGCCGAACAAATGGAAGTCGCTTGGAGCAAGGTCGGGGCTATACAAAGGATGCTTGAAGACTTCCCACTTGAAATTTTGCAGTGTCTCATTTGTCTTGTAGGCAGTATGGTGACACGCGTTGTTATGTAAGACCAACACCCCTGGTTCTGACAGCAGCCCAAAGAATTTTATGCTGCTGGTTTTCAGGGGCTTGTAAAAGGATGGGTGGGACAAGTGCCTCAGTGTACAGGGGGATTATGTTAAGAAATAAAAGCATTTTTCAAATCAGTACTCTTATTTAAGTTCTATATCAATTTGTAACGTACTTATTGACTTACCCTTGTAATATGTGATGAGGTTAAAGGGAAGAACAGTCAGCATTTGGAAGTCAACTGAAGAATCACAGTTGAAGAAACTGCACCTGAAGTAAGTGCCAGTCAAGGAAATAAGCAGCAAAGCACAACTGAAAATACTTTACTCTAACCCAGTGAGCATACTTTTTTACTAATGGACCAAATACACCGAATGTGAGAATGATTACACAGAAGAAACATGATATATTAATAACTGTGCTATTACTTTGTCAAAACTTAAAATAAAATTGCCTCTTATTTCTGACTTGCCAACATACATTTGTGTGTGTATATACAGAACCTGCTTATGTAAGATTATATATTTCTGTCATTCATATATATTTCTAATTAATATAACTAAATATTTTATGAATATCTGATACAGTATTGAAATAATATGCCTGTAAACAGGAATGAGATTGTGCTATAAAATTTTAATTCATATATATAATTTATTTAATTCACATGGGAAAGCAATATATACAGGCCTTTAATATTCACTGCTATCATTAAGATAAAGATGTATTTGTGTTACAGTGTGTATTGCAACTGGAAATGATAATTAATATAATGTGCTACGGAGAACATACTAAGAATTATATGTTTAATTTTATAAACGTTTATGTTCATGTTGTACTCCAGACAATATTTTTGTAGTTCATGAATATACGATGAAATAAAATTGTATGGACTTCAGTTTTTCTGCTTTTGCATGTGTAAATGTAAGCGGCTACTTTTCTTTTAAGACTGAATTTTTCCCTGCCAACAATAACAACACAAACATCAAGGAAAGTTGGCCAAATATACAATTTTGCAGTACTGCCAACCTCACAAGTTGCAAAACTGTATCTAGTAAGCAGTACAATGAATGGTTTGTACAAGAAGGGATTCCTGTGATTAATGCCATCATGAAGTAAAATAGTATGACAATGTGCGCTGCATACTGCAACTAGCAGCCCGAAGACTGAGCAATGTGGGATGATCTAATTAAACAAAAACAATGTAAAATTGCAAGTGTGCTGTTGCATATTGTATCATGTAAAGCAGGCACACAACTACAGACTACTGCAACCATCACATAGAAGCGACACAGTCAACTATGGGGCAGACCTCCTCCCACTCTGACTGTGCCAACACCATGGACTACCGTGCAACTGAGCTGGGGCAGTTTTGGATTTCACGTGAAAGTGGAAAGCAAGAGAGACAGTTAGAGTGAAAGAGTGAAAGTGAAGTAACCAGTTTCAGTGCCCCAGATCTCTGTTCATCCAAGCTAGACATCAGGAGTACACAGTTTCTGAGTGGCAGAAAACATAAAGATCTGGTCCCGGAACAGAACTGGCATATGTAACAGGTCTTAATGCCAATTTGTAACTAAGACATTCATTTTTAAAAATATGACTGAAGTAATATTTGAAATGTTTCGTATTTAGAACTAAATTTGATCTTAGGAGTACTGAAGCATTTTGTGGTCTTTAAAACTTAGTTACGAATTGGATGCAGAATTCTACTTATACATCCAGGATCTGAAACAGGTGCAAGTTCATAATTTCCATTCTAATATGCAGGATGACGTTCTATAAGAGTTCCTCCAGTTAACTATTCTCATAATTTCGGTAAATAAGGATTTAAGACACGGCACAACATGTTTGCAATGAATTCAATTTTAAAGACGACTCTCTCAGGAGGGCATCTGAGTCTCTGGAGCTAGAGAGGATGTCGATCTGGGGCAGCATGGTCATGTGCATGTCCAAAGCCATCAAGCGGTGCTATTGGTTAGTGCTCGCGAGTTCGAGGATCTGCTGGATGGGCTGGTAGGATTTGTGTCCCACACGTACGGTCCGGTGCAGTGGTGCGGACATCAACCCACAAGTGCAGCCAAGCGAGTTCCGGTACGTTCCGTTATGTTACGTCACGTTATGGTGCATTCCGTTACATCACACAAGGTGCAGTCTCCTTACGTTTTCATACATGTTACATTGTCCCACATGCAACTTCTCTCTTAACAAATATCGACTATAGAGGAGTACGACATAAAAGTTCGTGAAGGTTGTGTATTAATACAGTTATTGTGCTTCTCGTCACTATTTACCGTCCTGTTCTTATTTAAAACGTACGTTTCGAAGACTGGATTCTGCCTCTATCTTCAGGTTCTATCTTACGTCTGGAGACAGGGACTAGCTCTATTGATTGAGTCCAACTGAGTAGGTCCCACCTGAAGATGGAGACAGAATCCAGTCTCCGAAACGTCATGTCTTTTAAACAAAAACAGGAGTGGAAAAATTTCAGAAACACAACTGAACTACAGAAGAAGTATGTTTGTTTATTACTGAGCTACTGCAGTAGCTACCGAGTGGTATCTGAGCTGAGAGATACAAAATGTATTGAACTGAAGTGGATGAGAGAGGAAGTGGTCATGGCCTATTTCAAAGGACTTAAAAAACACATGGAAGCATGAATAAGATTAGCTGTGTCCTGGCGAGGAACCAAAGGAGGCACGTGTAGATGCTGAAGACCGCTTACTGACATGCATTTTATTGCTGATGATGTCAGTTGTGTTATCTTATGAAGTTCTGTATGACTGGTTTTGGATTCAGAGTTTTTGTAACGATTACGCACAGACTGCAATTGTTATTTAGCATAAAATAAAAATAAGGTAATTCAATTCATATACAGCGAATTGGAAACAGTTGGGCAGAGAAGTGGCCATTGGTTATTTGCAGATATATTTACTTGGGATTAACGAAGGCCATGCCATAGATCAGGCGGTTAGTAGCCGGCTTCCCACCGCGACAGACCGGGTTCGAGCTAAAGTCGGATCATGTGGGATTTGTGGTGGACAAAGTGGTATTGGGGCACATATTCTGCGAGTACTTCGGTTTCCCCTGCCAATTCTCAATCCACCGACTGTTCCACATTCACCTTCATCTATCATCCAAGGCTGGTACAATGGGCCAGTCAGTGGCCAAGAAATGAGGATAACAAAATCTGGTAGTCTGTACTGCTGTGTAGCGTGGGAGTGACGCAACGTGAATGTCATAACGTGACTCAACGTGACGCCGGTGCCGAGTGCCAGTGTGCGGTGAGTTGTGAGGTGCGACACGCAGCCAGTTCAGTCCTCTCGTTACGTTACCACTGACAACCAGCTGCGCCGTGACACTGGCTGTCTTGGCTGGGTTCCCGGCAATGCACGTGTAGTTTCCCGCGTGCGCTCGGCTCACGCGCGGGATGGCGAGCGTGCTAGAGAAGTCGTCTTGCATCACCTGAATCCCTAACTCGGGCGGGAGCGTAACGCCGTCCTTGAGCCAGCGAAGTGTCAGAGGTGGGTCTCCCGCTTGGATCACGCACTGTACCTGCGTGCGAACGCCCTCGATAAGTTCGCCAAACGTGAACGGACCTATCCTAGGAGGAACTGGAAGAAGACAGCGGGGTTTGAAAATCTGATGGCCATGTTGCAGAGCCAGCACCCATCGTCCAGCCGAGGGAGCAAACGACTGAAAGAGAGAGCTGGGGTTTGGGGGCGACTGGACGATGTTTGCGGCTGATTACCGTTCACCAGGAGCCTGGAGGAATGAGATGCCTGGGCAGCTGAGTTCGTAGCCAGGCACGTGTAGTTTCCAGCATGATGAGGCCTCAGACTGTCAATGCTCAGCGAACTGGTGAATTCTCCCAGCTGCTGCACGCTCACATCCATGTCAACAGGTCCGCCATCTTTCCTCCATTCAATGGTCAGGGGCAGGTCTCCGTTTGTGACAAGACATTGCACACCAGCGCGATTTCCGAGATGCAGATCCATTTGAAAAGCAAATGGGGAAATTTTCGGAGGTGCTGTAACACAAAGAACTTGCAGCGCTTGTTGCAAAGAAAATTGTACAGTGAAAATTACACCATTCACGTCTCACTTTTGATGTGGTACTTTGGTAAATGCACGAAAATTCTGAATATCAGCTTTAGCAGATGAACAACAAAACTGAGATGAAAGGTAAGCTGATATTTGATTGGATGTAATATAATAAAAAACAAGTGATCCTTTAACTAACAAATACATAACACATGTGTGATAATGTTATGGTAATTCTTTCTTGACAGGAAAGTTATGTATTAATTTGGAATTAAGTCTCCTTAATTTTCGAAGTCCGATTTCTAATTTTTTTTTATCTTTTTCTTCATCTTACTTGAATCACATATATCACACACAACGACATGCAGTGTTTACTATAAACCTGTAAATCTATATTTGAATCTGTCTCTCAAACATCCAACTTCAACTGTGAAGAACTTTCCACTAAAATGTTGAGATTAATTTCTTTCAAGGTGCCTCTTTTAAGGAGAATTCTGTGAAAGTGGAAAGGATATTCTGGCATATGGGTCGTTTCTATAACAATAGAGGAATGTCCCTAAACTTTCTCACCGCAGTGAGTACAGGCAATGCTCCACGCTCTCAAATAATCGTACCAACGACACTATGGACTCTCGACGCTGACGACAGACAGACAGAAACAGAGACAATGATACCTGTAACGTTTCCATACTGCAGCTTATGCTTGGTATGCTCTACGATTTTGAGATTTCGTTTCAAGTCAACCGTCACTGCTCTCTTGACCGTTGAAGGTGCAAGTCTGTCATAAGACTAAACTTCGATTCTCTCTGCAGTTTCGTATATAGTATTTGCAGTGTTGCGATACGTCCGTCTTCTGCATGAGCGTCATATTGTCACGGGTAGGGAGGTACGTGTGACGTAAATAACGGGTACTAGTTCGGATGACTGGATTTATTAGCACCTTGGTTACATTGTCTCTCTTAATCACACTTAATGCAGTGTTATCGCTGGTTTACACAATTACAGTTCACCGTTGCCCACGCACTAGGATTCTCCGGCTTCACTAGTCGTCTCCTGGCAACTGATCTCAACACAGAAGGCAGTACTTCAGATCACTATGACGTTTTCTTGCCATTTCTTGTTCGATCACCATGGAACCTCGGAATTCACTAAAAGTCTCTGGACTATTCTTAGCTGCAAGCGGACTCGTATTACATAGCCGCGGCAAAGACACGTCAGAGAACACAGTTCTGCTGTTCCGTAGCACAGACCATACAGAAAACAGTAGTCACGTGATAGCTAAGCACTGTTGGGCTGTGACGTCATTGCGCCTGAGTGGAAGTATGTTTACCGGGCCGATATATAGAAGCTGGTTGCATCCGTGCGTGTATTACCTAGAAAGGGCTGTTTCTGTGGCTCAACCGTTCCTACATGGAGGAAATACACCACAATATACTGGATCCATATCATATTCCAAATACATGAATAATACGAATGTTATATTTCAACGTCGTATTGTGTGTGAACAACCTATTAACGCAATTCGTGTGTAAACTTACGTGGTATTTTACGACATGTTTCGGCTCTTTGTAGTCATCATCAGGAAACATATTTTCACACACACTATTTTGCTGCTGTTTCCCTAAATTGCCAATGTTTACAACTTGAAGAGCTTATACGTGTTATTTATCAATGTTAATGCCAACTGTCACGATTTTGAGTGATTACAGACGGGATTTGGGTTCGTTATTGGACTGATCGCTTTACGGATCGTAACTACAAGTAATTTTAAGAGTCTCACTGAATCACGCACTCCAAATATCGTTGTAACCACAGCACACATATAAATTCTTCTGAGACGTCATTAATCGTTTCTTGGTAATGGATTTTAACAATGTTTTCCGTTTACGCCCTTACCGTCTGGAGAATACCCCACAACTGAACTGTTACAGCTAACTCCTAGTGTTCCCAAAGGCTGCCTTTCAGCTGACTCCCGTACAGAACTTACTTAGTTGCCCCAGTTGTCTTCCTTACAACTCCTCGGCCAGACCGAGTAGAAAACATCTTTTCCAACAGTACCTCTACTGCTGCAGAGGCGTGTTTACAGCAACGGTCGCGCCGCGGACAGAAGGAAATAGACAGTTCTCCTGCTGCTGCGGGTGTGTATGTTACGGGAGTTTCCTAGAGTCATCACCTAGCATCTGGTGTATACGCAACAGTACTAGTGTTTCGAAATGTCCTCGATAAGGATAATTATTCGTTAGTTTAACGTTACCGTATTTGAATGATGATTCTGATCCCAAGTTAGGTATAATGAATAGTCCCGAATGCATAATGTTCTGGCGAAATACGCCTAATTACGTCTAACACTAAGTCAGAACTGGGCGACACTGCTTAGCTTCCTTGTTATTAGAAGGAGGAGACAAGATGGCGTGCCCTACCTATGACATTGAGAGGAAGTGTCTGCGTGGCCGTGCGGCCCTGCTTGTTGGACGCAGTACACCGGTATATACCACGGTCAGGGTCGCCCTGCACGTTCTCCAGTAACAGTGTGCCATTTGGGAATATGTGTTGCCGCCTGTTCAGGGGAAGACGCCGTCCATCTGAAATCAATGTTTCAATCACAGAATTACTTGCCATTGCAAAGAGCCGATCTTTCAGAAAACACAAAATTCAAGCACAGATGGTAAGATTGTAAAGTTTCTAGATGCACATTTCATTCTTACGAAATCAATAAACTTCCATCTTGAATTGCCACTTTAAGCACAATGATCTTAAGAGATTTGGATGATTCCAAATCCATGGATGAAAATTTTAAGAATTTAAAATTCACTGTTAGGCCAGAAATTCACAGGCAGTTAAAAAGCCTATGTTCATTACCGTGTTTAAAAAGCCATACAACGTCGGTCGTAGTTGACTGAGGCACTATGCTAGAAGCCGGAAGGTCGCGGGTTCGAATTCCAATGAGGTGGATTTTCTCAATTTACCTAATCCTTCCAGCCGTAATATGACCCTGGGGTAGACTCAGCCTCTTAACAGAAATGAGTACCAGCAATCTTCCTGGGGGTAAATGGCGGCCGGCGCGTAAGGCATGGAATTTGGTGTGTGTACGTGTTTGTGTTTTCCTGTGTTTAGGTAGATGCCTTGCGACGGACTGAACATCCGCCCAAGGAGCCCTACCGTCTGTAAACTGATCAGGAAACTAAGAAATCAGCCCTGTGCTCCAAAGTTGGAGCAAGAGGAGAGGAAAAAAAGGCTTAAATAACGGCACGGACTTCTTTTGTGGCCGGGTACTAACTCAGAAATTGAAAATGTGACTTCGCTTAAGGCAGTAGCTCAGGCCTCAACGCAGATCGTGTAAGTGCAAGCAGTCAAGAGCAGGCCAATGTATCTGATAACTCTGACGGTTCAGTCTTAGTAAGATGGAGCGACGTATTATACTTACAGGTTTGACTTTCTATAAACTAACCGAAGCATACTTTTAAAATTAGTTTACACTTCCAAAAATAAGTGAAGTATTACAGTGCCGTAAGTGTCAAACTGAACTCTGGAGAACAGTGACGCAGAAATGCATGAAGTGTAGTAGTGAGTTGCGGTATTACTAAAATATTTATATTTAATATACGTTTTTAAAAACGCAATTAGACTGAATTTAATCCTATTATCATGCATAAACTCAGAACCGTAAGTATAAGCCGCTTTCCCTACCATTCAGATATCTTGCTGATTCCGAAGTGAACCATTAGCGTACTAATTTGAAGAACAAGCATGGGCAAGACAAAGGCCACAGGAACAATGGACTTACTCCGCGAGATAAAAGATCTTCCTTAATGGAGCACAACACAAGACCCTTAGAGAGTCATATGCTCAGCACAAACGTAAGAAGCCCATTTTCCCAACACAATAAATACGAGTAGAGAGAGAGAACTGCAGAGCACAGTAACAGAAACGTACATAAAACTGACGGGAACACTTCCTAACTAAGACCAGTAATGCGACTATTTCGTTTATGTTTGAAGAAAGGTGATTTAAAAATTCAGTTCTAAATTATTTGGCAGATCATAAGAGGGAGAGTCAGTAGATAGGTCACAAACGCAAGTAAAACAGCTGTAATGGTTGTAATAGGTTTTCTATGTGTGTCACTAGGTAGCAGCAAAGTGCAGCTTCATGACGGTCTAGGTAACAGACGCGTATGCGCATGTTCAGAGGTTGGTTTCAGTAGTCAAAATGGCAATCGTGCATGAGGTGTATACTCATATATTTGTATTTTTGTGAGCGAAAGGGCTCAACGCAAAGACAAACATACAGAAATATTTCCTGCTTACGTTGGGAAGTGTTTGCCGCATAAAGCTGCTTATAACTGGGCCGAGAAATTCTCTCAAGGCCGTTCGGCAGTCGCAGATGATGTCCGACCAGGTGCAGAAGTTGCTGAGAACAGTCAAAAGACTTCTGTGCTGCAGGTTTCGACGCACTGGTAAAGCGATGGGACAAGTGTATGTTGGTGCAGGTTATGTCGAGAAATATGTTTTTTTCGGGTTCGAATATCACGTGTTTCATGTTTTATATCCATTTGCGATCTCTTTACTGACCCTGCCTCACACTAATTTGTGGTTCCTCGTCAAGTTAATATCTGAGAAGATCCTGATTAGGTTTCCCTTCATGGTCAGGATTCTCAAGATATGTTTCAGGAATTAACAGAAACACAAACGACATATTATATACAACAAAGAACACATTGAGAACAAGACGTCTTTATGACCAGAGGCAAAACTATTACAGTACAAGAACAGATTCAGACAATAAAGCGCCGCCAAATGGGAAAACTTCATGGTGATTCTGAACTATTGTCAGTGTTTCCGTTTGTAGACCATGTAACCCTGGAAAATAATTTAGAATGACGCGATATAAACTCTAATACTGAACTTACCTTTCTGCCAGACGATGGACTCTATAGGATAGCCGGCAACAGGGCAAGCCACGTACAGACGTTCTCCAGCCACAGCCGACATATTGGGCATTGGCCGAATATAGGGAAGACCTGCAACAGATGTGCAGGATGAAGATACAACTGCGGCCCCTTTTGCATCTTAAATGTGTAAAATACTTATAAAACGAATGGGGGATAACAGGAATGCATATGGGATATTGGTGGGAAAGCCAGAAGGAAAGAGACCACTGGGAAGACCAAGACGTAGGTGGGTGGACAATATTAAAATGGATCTTAGAGAGATAGGATGGGATGGTATGAATTGGATTGATCTGGCTCAGGATAGGGACCAGTGGAGGGCTCTTGTGAACACGGTAATGAAACTTCGGGTTCCATAAAATGTTGGGAAATTCTTGAGTAGCTGCACATTTGGCTTCTCCTCAAGAAGGGCTCAGCTCCACAAGTAAGTAAGTAAAATACATATAAAATGTTTTGAAGTTACTTTTACAATATTGTGAGCCGTAGAACCATTGCCAAGTAACAGCTGCGTAAACAGTACAACAGCCATTACTAGGGAACAGCTCTGCGGACATGTTAAGTCCAAGTTCGAGGACCTGTGTAATATTTCTAATCGAATGTGTCTTTACAATAAGCAGTTATTCCCACTCTTGATTCCTTAGCCGGAGGACCACCCCTTATCTGCTGTCTGCGACTGTTACCCTCCATATCTGAGGACGCGCCATGCCGCGGTACAAGGGATCTACCTAACATGGCTAACAGGCAAAGCACATCATAAGGAAATAGCATTCCAGAACTCAGCACAAAACAAGATCAGTAAATATTCTAACAGAACTATACTTCTGCCTGTGGTTCTGTATGGGCGTGAGGAACACAGACTGAGGGTGTTGAGGAGAGGGATGAAGTGACAGGAGGTTGGAGAAAACTGCACAATGAGGAGCTTCATAACTTGTACTCTTCTTCAGGTATAATTAGAATGCTCAAGTCAAGGACGATGAGATGGGCAGGGCATGTAGCACGAATGGGGAGGAGATGAATGCGTATAATAAACTGGTGAGAAAGCCAGATTGAAAGAGATCACTAGGAAGATCAAGGCGTAGGTGGGTGGTTAATATTAAAATGCAGAGTGTGGGGTGGTATGGATTGGATTGCTGCGGCTCAGGGTAGGGGTAAGGAACCAACGGGTTCTACAAAATGTTGCGAAATTCTTTAGTAGCTGCGCAACTGGTGGCTTCTCAAGAAGGGCTCAGCTCACACCTCCGCCTCCTACATGCAACCTGAAGCACAGAATGTACAGATGTAATGTTACAAGCGTCATGTTCGTCACGTATCGATCTGGCATGAACATTGCTGTAATGTTTCGCCCTCTTCACTGGACAGTTGAAATAGCAGATCATTTCAATTAGCAGTGACTGACGAGCAGCGCGCTCAACTGCCCCACACGGATCACGATATCGCCCAATCATGCGCAAGTGTAGTGCCAGGGCCAACCGTTAACAATACCCAAATTCCCCTGTAAAATCGGCCGTAACACTCAAATTGCCCTCTGGAGTGTGAAGCGAATTCCTTCACTCTTCGAGACATGTACAGTATCCAGTTACAGTTGCCATAACTGTAATCGGACGTAACAGTTACATCCCTGTCGTCTGGTAGAAGTTTCACCGACGTTTCGGAGGAACGTAATTCGTCAGAAATATCGGTCAGCTATGAGACTATATGGCGTATTTATAGTTTATTACATTTTATTTTTTTTAGCATCCTGTTTGCTAAGTTGGAGCTTATACAGGGTGTATCACAACTCAACGGAACGGACTTCTCATGTAGAGAGAAGAAAACAAGTTTACGACAACATGGGTCCGAAAATGCATATAGTTACAGAGTAGTAATTGTGTCTGCACGCCACTGAAAAGAACTGGTAGAGGAAACTTTATCAGGAGGTAATCACAGGTGACGTCATGATAATCATAGAGCTGTCCTCCCAGTGAAAGGCGGACCAACCGAGAGAAAGCATTCATGTCGCCAATTCTTTTCAGTGGCGTGCAGACACAATTACTACTCTGTAACTATATGCATTTCCTGACCCATGTTCTCATATACTTGTTTTCTTCTCTCTACATGACAAGTCCGTTCCATTGAGTTGTGATACACCCTGTATAGTATATACTGTCACATGTACACCCATTGCCAAGTAACAGCTGTGTATACAGACGACAGTAAAACAGCCGTTGCTGGGAAACGGCACTGTGCACACTTTGTTTCCACGGAAACAAAAGAAAATGCAACAATGGAAGAGATTTTCTGAGTCCGTGCCAGGGCTAGATAACGGGGACTAGTAGTTCGATTGCGCCACCCTGTTCCTGGAAGATACAAATATGGGGACTTGGTCCTCCAGTTTGGAGAATTCTGGAATCTCAGAGAGTAAAATATGGTCATGAGTCCCGCGGGACTCGTACCCGATAACGACTGCGCTGCCGGGGACCAACAGCAATTGCAAACGACAGGCTCATCCTCTGGTTAGAGAGGATGTTACATAGGGGCTCTAACGCAAGAGTTCATTTGAAGAAAAGTGGCTGGTCGTGCGCCTCAAGGGGCTTGGCGCCAAGGCAAACCGCCAGTCGTAAAGTGACTCTGACTCTGGTTAAGTCAGTTGAGGTTACAATTGTGAGAAGTGAGAAGCTAGTAGCTGAGGCCGGGGGCAATTCGGAAATCCAAAAGAAGAGAAACGTCCACCGTTTAAGCCGCTACTAAGCAACGGCTAGTGAAGACTGAGAACACTTTAAGTGTGCAGTATCTACAGCAAACTTTGGAGTGTGTAACTCAGTGCGACTGTCGTAGTTATTTGTAATTACGTTCTCTAAGTGATCAAAAATCAGATTACCAACCCAAACCCCGTCTATAGGCACTCGAACACGTGACAGGATGTAAGACCTTTAATAAAATGATTTTAAAATATTATTTTCAGGTAATTTCATGGGGATATTTCTGTTACTGAAAATAAATTATTCTTTCAAACGAAAAGAATAACAAAAGAGAAAGGTTTTAAGAGTCTGCATGAACCGTTTCGTATGCGTATCATGACCGTCTTCTAAAAAGAAATTCCAGATCAGCGAAACGACGCTCAAAACCTTACTGGGCTCAACAATGGGCTTTAGCACTGCTTAGTTTGAAGTTCCTCATATCGAAAAGCCAACTGAATGAGACATGACAGCCAAGCGACTTGCCCAGCCTGAAGCTTCTTGTTCAACTGCACGTTAGGTGTAGCCCCCAGAGACTGGGATCCTCGCGTAGCCACAATAGCAATCTGGCTCTGCAGTTGAAACTTGTTTGCAATGTCCACGTTTCTCCGAAGCTAACAGATTACGAAAATGCCCGGTTACTGTGGGGGCACGCGGTAGTGTAGCTGATAGCGGGTTTGAATCCCGATGAGGTAATTGGATTTTTGACTTGACCTAATCCTTCCAGCCGCAGTGTGGCCCTAGGGTCGACTCAGCCTCTAAGAGAAATGAGTACCAGGAATCTTCCTGGGGGAGAAAGGGCGGCCGGTGAGTAAGGCTGACACTGTCACCGTCATCTGTGAGTTGCTTCTATGAGAGCCTCGACGTCTCACAACCCTCTGGGCCTCCATGGTCTGTTACAGGATAGCTTTACCTTTTTTTCTTTACACAAATTATGATAAAACTCTGGGAATTAATCATGTCGAAGCGTTAATTAAATAAACAAGTAAAGAGGTCGTGTTTCAACTGATGGTGTTTTGATAATGTTTAAGAATAATTAGTACTACTTAATTTCCAGTCTATGTTATGCATTTCCATGCGGTGTCAATCAGCCGTTTTTAATAATTCATAACAACTATGAAACTCATAATTATCAGCTGCTTTACTGTTCCAGTTTTGTGGGTGGGCCCCCCGGCCCCTTCCAATTTGGAATTGAATTCTGAATGTATTAATGTTTAAACATCTGGAAGGACTCTGTGAACGGGACCTATGCCTACACAGTACAACATGAACACAGAAGATCAGCAGACAAATATTCATACCATGACTGGGATTCGAATCCACGATCTCAATGTTCGAGAGGGTAAAGACATTCCGTGTCTAAAACCGCGTGGCTTATGAGGTCGGCTGCAATTAAGATTAAAATTAATAAATATCTGTTCGTATGACACTTGTAGCTAGCTCCGGAGACGCCGAGCATGTCAAATACACGGCAGGCAATGGATATGCGGGAGTCCTCCCGCACCTGCATGCCTTAACAACAATGGGGTCACGTGTTTCCGCCCGCCAGTCAGGTTGTGTATGAACCTCCACCTGTCTGCCAGACAAAGAAGGGCAAGCTTCTAGCATCTAGTCAGTCCTTCTAGGAGTCTAGACGGAGGACGGCGCCACGAAGAAAGTGTGTAGTCAGAACCATCCTGGCCAAGATACTGGACTCGGGAGAGCGACTTGTAAACGGGGTTTGGATTGGTGAATGGATTTATTGACCATTTGGAGGTCGTAACTACAAATAACAATAGCACTATCGCTATTTCCACACTTTACAAAATCACGCTCTTTCCCAGCCCACAGTGTCGCCACTAGCATTTGCCTTGTAACGGCTTCTAACAAAGACTATTGCTCTGCTGTCGGATTCCAGTCTTCTCTGAATGGCGACTCCATTCCAACTGTCGGCACCGTTTCTAACAGAACCTCTATTGTTACATATGTATCCATTTCCGTGGGAACGTGTTTGCTAAGCCGTTGCCTAGAACCGGCTTTTACTTCCAGAGATGCCTCTGCCTTCAGGCTGTGTACTCACCATAGACTCGCATATCCGCGGAGTGGCTGACCTCTCCTACGCGATTGGTCGCTGTGCACCGGTAGATCCCGCCGTCTTCAACCTGAACGTTGCTGATGTTTACATGACTGATGACGTCACCATGAAGAGTTACATACTGACCAATAACAAACCTGCGGAGAAGAAAACTACAGACCAGAGAAAAATCTTGTCCCTATAGGGACTCGAACTGCGACCCCTCCGCAATCCAGCCCGTAGCCAATCGCGTTATCCCGGCTCTGAATATGTGTTTACAAGACATTATACGGGTTTCGACATCATGTTGAAATCATTCACTGGCTATTAAACTTTATCCCACACAAGGTATGGATGTTTGGTATGTGTATGCGTTTATTCTGTGTTTAGGTAGAGGCCTTGCGGCGAGCTGATCACCTGTCCAAGGAGTCCTACGTCTGCAAAGATGATCAGTGAAACTCAAAAATCTGCCCTATGCTCCAAAGTGGGAGCGAGAGAAAACAAAATTGACCACAAGTTGCATATATTTCGAAGTTCTATCACCAAACAATTCTTCATAGAGCGACACCAATTTCTCCCCACTTTCACAAATTCGCATTGTCGCCATGTTGATACTGTTATTACCACGACAGTGAGGCTTTCAATGGAGTGCAGTTTCACGACGGACGGACAGACAGACATACGTATCTCCGCGTTACGTCCCTCGGAAGGAACATTTCGTCTGAAGTTCAGGTTTCAAAGAACGGGAGTCTCTGCTCGTAGCTACCTGTCGCTTTGCGGCAGCGGGAAGCCGTCCAGATGCCACGTGATATGAGGCGTTGGGTTGCCAGTCGCGATGCATTTGAGAGACACGGGAGGTCCTGGCTGCATCGTCTGGTAGATGAACTTGTACAGAAGTTGAGGATGGGCAGCTGCAATGCAAGATATAGTCCATTTGGAAATGTATTGCTAACAACTGGCACACAGTCATTCGTGCAGGCCGCAGGAAAGACCACAACACATANGACCTCTCCTACGCGATTGGTCGCTGTGCACCGGTAGATCCCGCCGTCTTCAACTTGAACGTTGCTGATGTTTACATGACTGATGACGTCACCATGAAGAGTTACATACTGACCAATAACAACCCCGCGGAGAAGAAAAATACAGACCAGAGAAAAATCTTGTCCCTATAGGGACTCGAACTGCGACCCCTCCGCAATCCAGCCCGCAGCCAATCGCGTTATCCCGGCTCTGAATATGTGTTTACAAGACATTATACAGGTTTCGACATCATGTTGAAATCATTCACTGGCTATCGCAATTAAACTTTATCCCACACAAGGTATGAATGTTTGGTATGTGTATGCGTTTATTCTGTGTTTAGGTAGAGGCCTTGCGACGAGCTGATCACCTGTCCAAGGAGGCCTACGTCTGCAAAGATGATCAGTGAAACTCAAAAATCTGCCCTATGCTCCAAAGTGGGAGCGAGAGGAAACAAAATTGACCACAAGTTGCATATATTTCGTAGTTCTATCACCAAACAATGCTTCATAGAGCGACACCAATTTCTCTCCACTTTCACAAATTCGCATTGTCGCCATGTTGATACTGTTATTACCGCGGAGTGCAGTTTCACGACGGACGGACAGACAGACACATGTATCTCCGCGTTACGTCCCTCGGAAGGAACATTTCGTCTGAAGTTCAGGTTTCAAAGAACGGGAGTCTCTGCTCGTAGCTACCTGTCGCTTTGCGGCAGTGGGAAGCCATCCAAATGCCACGTGATATGAGGCGTTGGGTTGCCAGTCGCGATGCATTTGAGAGACACGGGAGGTCCTGGCTGCATCGTCTGGTAGATGAACTTGTACAGAAGTTGAGGATGTGCAGCTGCAATGCAAGATATAGTCCGTTTGGAAATGTATTGCTAACAACTGGCACACAGTCATTCGTGCAGGCCGCAGGAAAGACCACAACACATGACCACAGGAAGAATCCCGAGAAAAACAAGAAAGCATATTGGCAACACAAAACAAAAGGAATACAACACAGAGCAAAAGGAGGAAATACATATACACCTTTTAACATATAACTCAAATTTAATTCCAATTAGAATATCTTAATATTCTTAAAAATTTTAATTTTAATATTTTTATTTTTAAGGACTGCATCCTGTTGCGTTATACAATGAACATATATAATTTTTATCGCTTACGCAACAATACTTTATTATTTATTTATATAGCATGCACTACATGTACAGATCGTGTACTCTACCCTTACAGACAACTAGACAGGCTGACAAAACTTTTTATTTTACAATGAACGAGTTGTACGTATAATACAACAGTCTGTTGCACCTGCTGAAGCTGGTTCGGTCGCAGATTTCTTCTTTTCTACCCTGAAGATGGAGGCAATACGTTCCTCCGAAACGTCGGTTAACACAATTTGTACACGGCGCCACATCCCAGAAGACAGCTTTCTTCAAATTATACACTGCTTTACATTGCATTCGCCGACACATCGTGTTTCGAGCACAAAGGCACAGACTAACATAAAATACGATCGTACGTCGGGGAAACACAAGAAAAAGGTTCCGAGGAATATCCTGAGATGATCATTATGCCACCCAGAGCGCTACGTACGCGACGCACGCTACATACGCTATGTTCGCTATACGAACAGAAAAATATCTCCCTTTATTGCCAATGTGACTGGTCACACAGACTTCCGTACGCTATGTACTCTGTTCCCTATGTTAGCTGTGTCGCAGACTGTACACAGCGTACGTAGCGTACGTGGCGAACATAGCGTAGCGCTCTGTGTGGCCAAACCTTTATTCCGCGCCGCACAATACACTGCAATGAAGAGCTGAACGCTGTGTAATCATGCAGCAGACAAATGAAAATTGGCCGGCCCCTCCAGTCGCGATACCCCGCAACACACAAAGAATGCAATGCGGATGTGGTTAGCTTCACGAACTCTATGCTACGTATGTTGTGGCATATTTGCTCAAAGGAAGAACCGTGGAACCAGAGAAACAGCAATTGCTAGGTAACGGCTGTGTAACACTCAACAGTGGAGTAAATGGTGACAGCGGCGTTTTCTGTGCGGTCCGTTCCGAGGCCATATAAAAAGGACCGGCTTCCATCGTTCAAGTGACTAGACTGCCGTTGTAACGAAAGCTACTAAAAACGGGGCAAAATCTGCTGTATTGATTCTGGACTGACAGATGGCCTGTATATATTGTATATATATTTTTACAATATTTAACATGTAAATGTAAACACCATTTACGTTATGACAAATTACTTACTACTGTAGAAAATGTCTCTGACAAAAGACAGACCCGTCCTCTCGTCAGAGAGGGCGCCCCCAAATAACAAGACTGTAACTGTCAAAGAGTAATAAATATCTGGTCATTAGCCCCAGATGAGATTCGATACCAAGACTGACTGACCGTCAGTCGCAATGTGACTTTGACTTTGATTTAATAGACAGTCTTGATATGGCAGTTAGGAGGACAGGAAATTGGTGTGAGATGGCCTTCAGCATGCGAGAACGTAATACCGGGAGCAGAGGATAGTCTCTGTTGGAAGCCGCTACCAAACAACGTGAATGAGAACACCATTTTCTGTGTGACAGTGATTTTAAAGACTAGTCACTATTTTCGTGTACAAGAGTCCAACAAATCCGATATCCAGTCCAAATCCCGTTTACAGTCACTCTATCACGTGACAACATAAACTCGAAGCTGAGGGTGAAACATGTTAATTAACGTAAGCAAGAAATGACTCCTGCAATATTTATTGGGGCAGAAACCAGAACGCATGGTTACGAATCTCAAGTTACAGCAAGTGTCGGGACCTAGTCCTTACAGATTGTAAGAACGGAAGGATTGCACGGATTATCTAGAAATAAATTGAATTGCCACTCATGGTGCCAGTGTATAGATAAATAAACATATTGTGAGATAATTCGACAGTGATAAATTTGTCCGAAACTTTTAAAATGTCACCGTTTTAATCACAGTCTAGGATTGCCCAAGTAAGTGAGCAGATCCATGATTTATTTAAACCGTCTTGCAGTGCATACACTCATTTATCTCCTTCTCTCCCTCGCACTACATGTTTCGGCATAATAATGCCATCTTCAGGTGCTTACTTATCCACGCCAAACTAGTTCATTGCATGCCTTGTTCTCATATTAAAATAACTAAAATATGTATCTATCATATACATTGTCAAACTTAAATGGACTTAAATCAGTGCAACAGGACGCTAAAATATAACATAAGTGAGCAGATTTTAAACATTTTGGACAAGCTGTATGCAGTCCCCTAAAATTGCTCGTGCTTTAGAAAATGTTTGCTGTGAACTGGGGTTGCAGTTTCAAGTAATTTCGAGACATACGGGGCTATGTGGAGATCATAAGAAGCTTTTGATGTACGTCACGGGGAAAGAGAGAGTAGGGAAAACTGTGGACGTTTCAATGCAGGCAATTAGGGGATTAAGGGACTTTGCTGGAAATGTTCAGGCTGTAACTGAAACCTTGAAGACTCTTCTAAGAACAGTTTCAGTGTTGTCTCCCTCTAGAGCTGAGAGCGAAGGCGGGCACAGCAGCTCATGTGCTCGTTTCCAACCCATCCAGCATTTGTTTAGAAACTCCAGTGGCCCAACCAGAGACGTGTGCAAATTGCTGTGCATATTTTAGGTTAAGGGAACTTTCGAGTAACGAACAGAGCAATTCCGGTTTCTCTCGTCGACCCCTTTGAAACGTGTTTCTATAAAAACAAAGGTAACAAAAAGGTATTTTCTAAATTCTAAATTAATATGATTAGGCTCAGAGTTGCTGGGTTTTGGGGATCCATCCATCCTCCGTATTCTAGAGACTAGAAAACACAAACGTTTCGGAAAGTGGATCTCTTTCCGCCCTCAGGCCCAGGTCCAGGCCCAGTGATTGAGGTTTGCTCTTTCTAAGGGACCCAGCTGAGTAGGTGTCTCCCCCACACCTCACCTGAGGACGGAAACGCATCCAGTTCCGAAACTCTGCGTTTTCTAGTTACTAGAATACCAGACGATGGACTAAGTGCGAAAATCCAAGCGTCACAAGCCTTTAGAATCTTGCACGATTAGGGTGTTGCATAATTGTGTTGGAACTAACTTTCTGGCGCACGTCTGTACTGGACTTGCTCCTGCAAATGCTCATAACAGCTGGCCAAATTATATATTTAAAATAAATATTCCAATACTACCCCAGCTTAGATCAGATTTAAAATAAGATTTTTTTTTCTATTACCTACGAGTACATTACTGAAACTTAATGATGTCCCTTTAACAGGCCGCGGACGCCGGTAAGGTTGTGAGTCGTCGAGGCTCCCGCAATTTCTGTACAATCGCCTCATAGGTAGCGATGAGTTTGCCACTGTACTACAGCACACATAAATTCTTCAAATCACATGCTAAATTTTCTCTGTGCATGCTGACTGAAGCCTCAACTGAACTGCAGACTGACGTCTCGAATTTCAATTGCCTTTAAAAGTCTGAGTCTGAGTCACACGTTACGACCGACGGCCATTAGGCCACCTGTCTTGGAACAAAGCACCCGTCTGGGGCTTACGACTACATTTTTATTACTGTCAGAAATTTGTGGGTTTGTTGAGGTGCGGCGCTCTCTCTAATGCGAGGACAGGTCTGTCTTTTGTACATGCTGCTGGCCCTTGCCAGCGCAGTCTTTCTCGGATCTGAGTCCCGTGGGACTCGCGACTATATTTTACACTCTTAGATTCGAGACTTCCATTTTCATCGCCTCTTTTGACTAGCAGGGTTACGGTGGAGGTATTCGACCCCGCCTCCACACGGGTATGCTTCAAGTGACTTTGCTTTTACTTTTTATAAACTTTAGGCACGGACCGCACAGAAAATACAGCTCTTCTATTGTTGTGTATATTTGTTTAAACGGAAACGCGTTTACTCAACTTTTTCACAGGAACGGCTGTGCACTTCACATAACGTGACACCTCCTCTATTCTTGCCTAGCAGCGGCTGTTTCTCTGCGTTCACAGTTCTTACTTTTAGCTGCCTTTCATGCAGACTCACTAGCGATACTCGATCTAGGTTGAAAGTAATCAATTCTGTCGCCGGCATAAGGAAGAGATTGAACAGAAGAGTGTTGTAGAATACAAAGCACGGTTTCTGAGAAAGTGGAAGGGACTGCAGACGTAAGCATATTACGTACCTTGTTGAATTATTTATTGCGCATTTTCTTAAGACTCCAGCAGAAAGTTTTATATGGTCTGGAGATTGAAATTTCTAGACGAGCTCTTCATGCAGGATACGACGAAGTTGTGCTTTGGTCTCAAGGAAGGCCGGGGACTTTCAATAAGTCACCAAAGTGTGCAGCACATAGTTTCGTATGAACATTACTGATTTCAAACAGCATAACTTTCTGTTCGAAACGATGGGAGAGGCCTCCATGTTGGTATCTCGCGGATCTGAACTGCTGCATTTCAAGACCTTGCAGTGGCGCACTCTGTTCACATCTCCGTTAAATGAAGGGTCTGTCGGAAGTGAAGGACAACAAAAGCGGACTTTCTCCGAGCGGATTTAATATCCGGGGGCTGTCTGGTTCGAACACTGGGCGAGCTGAGGTTCCGTTGGCTATTGTAGTCCCTGAGATATTTGATTACACTACAGCTTCTTATTCCTGGTACTCATTTCTGTTAGAGGCTGAGTCGACCCCAGGGCCTAGTGCGGCTGGAATGATTAGGTCAACTGAAAAAAATCCAATGACCTCATCGGACTTGAACCCGCGACCTTCCGGCTTGTTAATTAAATAATTTTTCTGGGGAGTAAAGCGCGGCCGGCGCGTAAGGCTGACAACCTCACCGCCATCTTTGAGCCGATTGTCAAGGTAATGTGGGACCCTCAACGTCTCACAACCCTATGGGCCTTCACGGCCTAGTACAGGGGTAGCTTTACTTTTTACAGTTTCTTATAACGTTCTTGAGATCTAATATTTATTATCATTCTTTTATATATACACAGTGTGCGACAAGTAAATTCCCGGAATGGCCGCAGCGTGTCGCTGGGGTGTTGAGTCAGACAAATGAGTAGTTCGTTCCCAAGCCGCGGTATAATGTTGGCGAGAAAATGATTGACAATAATCTTGAACAGCGGATAAACATTAAGTTTTGTGTGAAGATTAGTAGAAGTGATGGTGAAACGTTAGCCCTATTAGCAGTGGCTTACGGTGAATACGCTATGAAAAAATCGAGTGTTTTTGAGTGGCACAGGCGGCTCAAGGAAGGGCGAGATGTGCTAGATGGCCCAAGAGGTGGGCAGGCAAACACTCAAAGGCCAGATGAAAATGTGGACCGAAAACGAACCTTGGTGCACTCAGATCGAAGATAAGGTGTGAGAGTAGTGGCAGAAGAATGTGATATCGTGATAACAACAATAATAATAATAATAAAACTATTCCTGTAACAGGCCGTGGGGGCCCAGAAGGTTGTGAGATGTTGAGGCTCCACATTTTCTAGACAGTCTGTTCACAGATGGCTGTGAGTTTGTCAGCCTTACGCGCCGGCTGCCCTTTACCCCCGGGACTTTTTTGGTACTCATTTCTGTTAGAAACTGAGCCGACTCCAGGGCCATAGTGCGGCTGGAAGGATTAGATAAATAGAAAAAGTCCACTTCATGGGGAATCTAATCTGCGACCTTCCGGCTTGTAGCACAGTGCCCCAGAGGAGGCGAAGTGTTCACGGAGAAGCACTGCAGCACCAAGAAGGCGCAAGCTACGAGAGACTAGACCCTGTTGCACTGTGTACACACACACTTCCGTCTCCCTTGCAACTCACTCTGAAAGTTTTACATTCAAAATTTCAGTTTTCAGAGCTCATAACTCTTCCAGGTTGTATATCTTTGTCACGTCAGACGCGTTAAATCTGTTTCGGCGAAACTGCTGCAACTCGGCCCTTAATTTTATTTAATCTTAAATTTGAAAGAAAATTTACTTCTTCTTTTTTTTTGGGGGGGGGTTGGTAACTGGTATACATTTTGTTTCTACGTGTATTCGCGTACGCAGTGCCGTGTATACTTGGTGTGTGAACTGTGACAAATACAGACATAAAACCTGGAAAATTTCAATTTTGAATTTTAAAATTTTGGAGGTAGCGTAATTTGTGGAGGCATTAGCTACAAGCCCTCGGGTTGCGAGTTCGATTCCCGATCAGGTAATTGGTTTCATCAATTGAACTAATCCTTCCAGCAGCACTATGGCCCTGGAGTCAACTCAGCCTCTAACAGAAATGAGTACCAGGAATCTTTCTGGAGGTAAAGGGAGGCCGGCGCATATGGCTGATAACCTCGACGCCTCAGAAACCTATGAGCCTCCACGGTCCGCTACAGGGATAGTTTAATGCGATTTCAGCAGTGCGGTGACTCACCTCCCAATCGCAGCTGCACAGAGCTCTGCGCGCTGTCGTCCTCACTGCGTACCAGACACTGGTACATGCCAGCGTCCTCCCTCTGCACCTTCTCGAGGACGAGAGCCTCCCCTCCAGGACCAACGACGTGTCCATCCTTCAGCCAGGTTCGCGTGGCAGGAAGGTGAGGGGAGGACCCACTGACGTGGCAAGTGAGTGTTGCTTTGCCTCCTACATCCACGGTGAGCTGCCCCGACGGTTGTATGACAACGTTTAGAGGCGACGTGACGTGTAGGACGACGTCCATGCGTTCCACCCCTGCGGTGTTGTTGGCCACACATACCCACCGCCCAGCGTCACTCTCCACAACGTGCTGGATAATCAGGCATTCCCCTGCTCTGTATATGCGGTCGTCTGCTTCTGCAAGGGCGCGCAGCTGGTGATGGTCTTGGCGAAACCACCTGCAATACAGAGTGACTGGCTTCAGAATCCTCGAGTTGCATGGCCATGACTTTTGTTCTCTCTCCTACATGTACGTGTTTAGAAATGGGGCCTCCTTTTCGACTAGGGATGGGGTACCTGTTTCGAAATGGGGCCTCCTCTTGGACAGAAGAGAGGGGTACGTGTTCCGAAATGGGGTCTCATATTTGACTAGGGGAGAGGTCGGTATTTCTATGTAGGCGCTACGTTTGTTGAGCCGCAGTTTCAGCACGAGTATATCCGCGCTGTCACGGCGTCCAGGTCACTGTGGGCTCTGTGTCACTGCACTGCACTGCACTGTACAGGGGTCGGTCTCTCTATGTAGGCGCTGCGTTTGTTGCACCGCAGTTTCGGCACCAGTATATCCGCGCTGTCACGGCGTCCAGGTCACTGTGGGCTCTGTGTCACTGCACTGCACTGTACAGGGGCCGGCCTCTCTATGTAGGCGCTACGTTTGTTGCACCGCAGTATCAGCACGAATATATCCGCGCTGTCACGGCGTCCAGGTCACTATGGACTCTGTGTCACTAAGTAACATTTATATAAGGTATACAGAAGTCTGCCGGCCAGGGTAGCCGAGCGGTCTAAGTCATGTACTGTCTTCGTTCGCTCAAAGGCCGGGATCTTGGGTTCCAGTCCCACACAAGGCATGGATGTTTGGTGTATTATGCGTTTATTCTGTGTTTGTGTTGGCCTGTGTGTAGGTAGCGGACTTGTGACAAGCTCATCACCCGTCCAAGGAGTCCTACCGTCTGTAAAAATTGTCAATGAAACTGAGAAATCAGTCCTGCGCTCCAAAGTGGGAGCGAAGAGGAAGAAAAATATACAGAGGTTTCCTGTCAACCTGTGCATCAGGTTACGGAACTACTCTGGAACTGCAGTTAGTCAGCTGAACGGTCGTGGGCCTGACCGCCGCCAAGTTTAAGGCTCTTATACTTCCTGTGCCTCGCCTCTCCTTGTCCACTTGCAGGAACATTTGGATTTGCGTAGTTTATGATTACGTCTGCCTCTGTCCTGCATAATTTAGTTATGTAGTTATAAACGTAAGGAATTTTGAATGCCACGTACAATTCGCGGACTGGTGTGCACGTGTCAAGTTTTCCGATAGTGCGAAGAACTCGGTTCTGCGGTCGGTCGGAGGTTATTTATTTTGCCGTCCGTGTTTGGGTATTAAAGGGACAAGAGTAATACGACAAACAGAGGTCAACGCGTGTGACAGACGGACGATAAAATGTCGGACGTTTCTAACGGCGCTGCGTTCTCAAACCAAACGTTTCGTCCTCCCTCCGAGTTGATTCTTTTTGTCCTTTAGTACTATTTTTGCTTCATTAATCCTGATTTATTGGTTAACCAGGATCATCTCCGCCTCCCAATGGCGTGGATTTACTGTACATAACACAACGGAGTGCAACCATTCTGTCTGTTTAAGTCACACACGATGCAACACTGACCTGATTGCAGGTGGGGGGTTCCCCTCGACGTAACACGGCAGCACGGCTGTCTGGTCCTTGCGAACCTGCATGGAGGCTTGCTTCTCCAACGGCCGCGGGGCAGACGCGACGGGGGGATCTGTTCCAGAAATCAAACAGTAACAATCACTCAGTTCAGTTCTTCACTTATTTACGTGATGGGCAAACAGTCAGTGGCCAGTTACACAACGACCACAAAATTAGCTACTATACAACAGCGTTGCTGAGTAATGGTTCATAAACAGCAACAGAGGGATGGTGCTTTCTGTACTGTCCGTGCCGATGGCCGCGTACGCAACAATGGACTATGTCATGCCACCGCTAAGCACCAAGCGCAGTTTTCTGTGCGGTCCGTGCCGATAAGTTACAAGGAGAACGGTCAGGAATTAGTCAGTAGAGTGGGGTCAGTTGGCTGGTGACGGTCTGAGTTGGTTAGATAACCGCTGGGGCTGTTGTTTTGAGCTGCTGATGTGAGAAGCTTGTAGTTCGGAAACCCAGAGTGAGGGGAACGTGTGTTTTGTTTTCACGAGTGTGTTCAGTTGGTTGGAAATTATTTCGCTACTAAAATCATTTTTAACAGCTTCAAGACCACACCTCAACCTGCACATAAATGCCAGATGTGAAGTTCAGCCCATCTAAGGGCCAGGTCTGTCACAATGATCCGGCCAATTGTAAATCTTAACAGAAATGGACGTTCGGTAGTGTGGCCGTGGAACCCCTGAATACAAACGGCCACAAATATGAGATATGCCTTCACTGCAGGTTCCTTCGGCGCTCACATCTAAAGTAACCGTCACACTGCTAGGGAAAGTCCCGCACAGCGAACACTGCTGGCCCCAGAATATCACAACTCACGTAGGCGCTGACATATTGGCAAAAAGCACACGGTCCCTTCACTTTCCTTCAAAATTATCATTTTGGGGGTAAAGCGGCTGGGGCTTGAAGCTAACCACTCGCCTCGAGCTAGTGCCCAATCGAAAAAGTGTGGGTCTATAAATCCACTCTCCCGTACGCGTTCATGGCATAGTGTTTAATTAATTAAGCACAGGGACAACTTTACTTTATATACAATGGGTAAGAATGCTTGGACCGGGGGGGGGGCCGCCCGTCGCAAAGGCGCTGCAGAACAGCACAAGCACAGAATAAATCCATACACGCATCCATGCCTGGAGTGGGATTCGAACCCACGATCCCAGCGTTCGAGGAGGCGAAGACAGTTCCTGCCTCAGACAGTGGGGCCGGCCACTGTGATTCACTCACCAAGCTCACGCCCGAATGATATTCCGCTAAGTTATGGAGGCATGCTGGGCATGCGCGCAAAGGCATTAATGTAGAAAATATGCGGACACAAAACTGTGCGGCTTACGTGTGTAAGATAATATCTGTAACCGATACCCCACATCGCGACTGCAGCGTCTCTAGGGCACAGAGACAGCTGAAGTACGGGTTTGTGCAAGCGGACGCGCATGCGTACTGAATGCGGAGCAACTGTTTTGTTAACGGATGTATTAATATTGCCGTTATTATAATTGCAGTTATCTGTATTCCAATGAAGCGCACTGCACCTCATCTCGTCACTTTCGATCTGACAGTCTCCTACCTTTATCGAGATAAACACGATATTTACTTAGGGGCCTCACACAGATTACCAGGTCTAATCCGTCTACTGCGCACTTACACCAAGAATCCCAGATGTAGAACTTAACCAAAATGCGACGAAGTTTCCGTAACTGAAATACTGTCACGTGATCAGTGACGACAGAAGTGGTTTGGATTTCCAGCCTAATTCACTGAAATATTAAATAACTCGTAACTACAAAAACTACGACAGTCTCGCCGAGTTACACACTTCAAAGGTCACTGTAACTATAGCACTAGCCGTTGCTTGGTAGCGGATTCGAACGGCTGACATTCCCCTTCCTCGGGTACCCGAACTGTGCCCTACCTCAGCTACCAGCTTCTCATCTCTCACAATTGCAACTCTCAAATGACTCAACATAAAAAAAAAAATATGTTACGACTGACGGAAATTCGGCCAGCACGACTTGGTGTCAAGCCCCCAACTGGGGCGCAGGGCCAGACTTTTATTACTGTCAGACATTTGGGGGTTCGTTGATGTGGGGCGCTCTCACTGACGACAGGACGGGTCTGCCGTTTACAATTGCTCCTGGCCCTAGCCAGCGCAGTCATTCTCGGATCCGAGTCCCTTGGGACTTGTGACCATATTTTACTGTTTCAGATATGAGACTTTCCTTTTCGTCGCCTCCTACGACTCGCAGGGTCACGGTGGAGGTATTCAACCTCGCCTCCACACGGGTACATAGCTGCTTCCTAGTAATGGCTGTTGTACTGTCGCCTGTTTACAAAGCTATCCCTGGCACAGTCTGTCCACAGATCCCTTTTCATTATCATTTGCGTGTGGGTGACGAAAGTGGCGGTTATTCCAGCGAGAATTTGAGATTACCTTTCCTGATTATCACGTCCTCACCTCGTGAAAACAAACTAATATGGTTAAGAGGAAGGGACACACAATGAAATTCCTGCAAATATTCTCCCAGTCTCTTCACCTGTGTTCATTGTTCTAGGGCTCAAGTTACAGACACAGAGGAACGAGGAAAATGACGGCTTCTCTAATTCTGCTTCTTTGCTTTAATAAGAGAGGGCGGTGAGATATTCTGAACGTGCCCCAGAAGTTACAACTAACTCCACGTAACGGGGGTTTCTTGGGAAGACAATAGTCACGTGCCTAGTCAACGCATTCCCCATTTTCGACGGCACTCGAAGACTCGATGCAGTTTCTCGGGTCAGACGTGTCCCTTCACATCGCCTCACAGCTGCCCCTTAACATCAGCAACCTCGTATCTACGTTTTGTTCCTGCCTGACAGCTAGAATAAGGGAAGCAGAAAAACAGCCACTGCTAGACAATAGCTGTGTGAACGTACAATACCTGAGCCATTGCTAAGCAGCGCCCGTCCGCGGTGGGTTTTTCTTTTGCGGTTCGCGCCGAGGGATATGGGACTACGACCGCAGAGTTTCAGTTGCAAAAATTGTCCGTGGTCGTGATCTCAGGGGCTTGGCGCCAAAATGAAATGATTAGCGACAGACCGTCAGGCGTAAAGTAACTTTGGCTTCAGCTTTGAGTATTTCGGTTTCCGCGTGGAGGCGGGTTCGAATACATCCACCGTAGCCCTGCGAGACGTAGGAGGTCACGAAAAGGAAACCCAGTGCCTAGGGGTATAACTGGGCCACCCTGTTGGAGGGCTCTCGAATCTGAGACAGTAAAATATGGTCATTGGTCCCGCGGGACTCGGACCCGAGAATGACTGCGCTGGCGAGGACCAGCAGCAATTGTAAACAACATACCTACCCTCACTTAAGAGAGGGCCCCAAGTTAAGTAACCCGCATTGTGTGGCAGTGTGGCAGGCCCTAGATGGGCGCTTGATACCGAGAGAGACTGGCCGAGTGACCGTCTGTCATAACATGACTGCTACTTTGGTTACTTCGGTTGCGTCATTTGAGAGTTACAGGTGTGAGAAGTGAGAAGCTGGTAGCTAAGGCCGGGGACAGTTCGGAAACGCACAGGAAGGGGAACGTCTGCAGTTGGAAGCCGTTACCAAACAACGACTACTGAGGATTAAGAAGGCATTACGCGTGCTGTAGTTGCAGTGATCTTTGAAATGTGCAATTCAGTGAGACAGTCGTAATTACTTGTGGTTACGAGTTGTTTAAGAGTTCAGTACATCCTATTATCCATCCAAACCCCCTGTAAAATAACTCAATCACGTGACAGTATTTCGCTCCTGTTTGCTACTGACCTTGCATCTTGAACACCCGCAGTCATGTAATCATTACAACCTGGCCTTCCGTATAGCACATGAGCATATTCGAGTAACCGGACTGACTGCATTTTTGTCGATATGAAAACACGCTCTATCAGAGGGCGAAGTTGAAAGTTGCATGTAAACGACATATGTTATGTTCCTTTCTCTGTCTCTGATTTGGTGCCGGCTGGTCAGTCCCGTCTTATCCCCACGTGGCGGGAAGGAAAGCTCTCCTCCAAGCAGTTTGCTCTGCACGTAGGTATACAAGCCCTCAGTACACCGCTATGCCCGCGCCAATATGACAAGATCGCAACAGCTGACTTCACATGATGTGCAATATCACATGAAGAGTTTTTAACCATATTTTATTCCAAAACTTTCGTTTTCTTTTTGATAAGTTTATAATTCAGTGTATTTTATAATGTAACAGTTATCAAGTGGTGTGTACCGTTATGCTGTTGTGTTGCGACGGACTCAAATAAACAATTGTATATAGTACCACAACAGGATGCACGAAATAAAAATTATAAGTGCATCGGTGTTGGTGGAGGATATGTCGGGAAATAAGTGTTTACTTTCCAGGGTCGAATATCACATGTTTCGCGTTTTATGTCCATTTGTGACCTATTTACTGAATTTCCCTCTTATAAAAAAGTAAAGTAAAGCTATCCCTGTAACAGGCCAGGAAGGCCCATAGGGTTGTGACACGTTGAGGGTCCCACATTATCTAGACAATCGGCTCAAAGATGGCGGTAAGGTTGTCAGCCTTACGCGCCGGCCGCGCTTTACTCCCCAGGAAAATTATTTAATTAATTCCTGGTACCCATTTCTGTTACAGGCTAAGTCAACCCCAGGGCCATAGTGCGGCTGGAAGGATTAGGTCAAATGAAAAAAATCCAATGAGCTCATCGGGACTTGAACCCGCGACCTTCCGGCTTGTAGCATAGCCCCTCAACCAACTACGTTACCCCTCTTATATGGAAAGTAAATTAGAAACATTCTTACCGATTGGTACACGACCGTTCGCTCGAAGAAAACGAGCGAAATAGGGGCAATATCAGATGAGACAGCCATCGGAATGAGAGGCGGATACACCTCAGGAGCCAGCATTTTATAAGCTTCGAATTCCAATATTTACTGTCAGTTATCTCAATGCCGTTTCATGGAGCAACCTGCACGTACAGACGGATGCTGTTTGTACTAATGCAGGCCCCTATCCTACACAAAGCATCGTAAGAGGACGAACTTGTACAAAGTTTTGCTCGCTACAGAGACACATCACAGGCCAGACGATAGCAACTCGGTCCGGACTTCGAAACTTACTTTCTGTACGCCTAACTTTCTGGAGGAAACTGATACCCCGGCTCTTTCAACCGATCAATCGGCTCTGAAGAAGAGTCAGCCTGCTTCCATATGAACAGTGGCTGCAGACGCTAAACCCCACCTCGTCTCTGCAAAGTATCTGAAGCCACTTTGTTCGCTCTCTCTCTCACAAACGGACACTCACAGCAGCGTTACCATTGTTGCACTCTTCGTACTCTTAGCATTGCAGTAATTGATTAGCTAAACATGTAGCATGCGTAGGAAGGTGAGAATGCATAGAATACTCTACACGGAATCCCTGAAATTAATGGACCGCCTGGGGGAATTCGGTGTAGATCAAGAAATTACATTAGAAGAAGTTCGGGGAAGAATTAATCGCCTACAAATTGTCAATGAAAAATCCGTCGAGTGTAACAATGTTTTTAGGTCACTTATTTATCTCACTTGCCTTACAGGTTTCGGTTCAAGAAAAACCATCATCAGAGGCACGTATTACAAACACATGAAAACACTGGCGTTGTTTAATGTACGCAGTATGTAAGCTGCGTGGACGCTGTTACAGATGTCGGAGTGTAAAAGCACAACACTTTCTAGTAACGTTGAATGCACGTACAACTCTTGCATTCCATCTGAAAATTGCCCTCAAATTAAGCCGTCAATGTTAAAATATTTAAAAGTTTAAAACATTTAAAGTAAATGTTAAGCTCCTTCTTGTTAATTCGTCCCGATGATGGGAGATGTCAACTTGAGGTTGTGTAGGCTTATGGTCAGATGTTTCTTACGCGTTGTGTGTTGTGTACTGCAGTACACATCATCGGGACGAATTAACAAGAAGGAGCCTAACATTTTACTTTAAATGTTTTAAACTTTTAAATATTTTAACATTGACGGCTTAATTTGAGGGCAATTTTCAGATGGAATGCAAGAGTTGTACGTGCATTCAACGTTACTAGAAAGTGTTGTGCTTTTACACTCCGACATCTGTAACAGCGTCCACGCAGCTTACATACTGCGTACATTAAACAACGCCAGTGTTTTCATGTGTTTGTAATACGTGCCTCTGATGATGGTTTTTCTTGAACCGAAACCTGTAAGGCAAGTGAGATAAATAAGTGACCTAAAAACATTGTTACACTCGACGGATTTTTCATTGACAATTTGTGATTGATAGTGTAACGGACCAAAAATGAAACAATTCAAAATTAATCGCCTACTTTTCTTTGATACGACACGGACCACACAGAAAAAGAAAAAACTCGGGACACACAAGACATACACAGAGTAAAGCAATCTCATAAGCGTCCTAACGAAAATTAGGAGTGGCGTACGGAGAGAAAACAATTTCGACTTCTCAGTTTTCCTATTTCCAGTACTTTTTAGTGTACTGATTTTCAGTATCACTGCGTATAAGAAGTCAGTTACATTTTCCGAAGAATATTTGCAACATCCTCAATAAGCACTGTTCCAGTACGTACTTCCTTCTGAAATAAGGATTTTTTGTGTATCTCCGTTTATTTGTACAATCCGTCCATATTAAGGACTATGAGTACATCTTGTGAAATACTTCATCTAAGACTTAAATACACTAAGAAAGAGCGTGTCGGGAAGAGCAGTGCTCCAGTGAGCATTCTCTTGGAATCTATTGCATTTATGTGAGGCGCGTCGTTAGGTCGGTTGGCTTATGCCTTTTCAGTCTTCTGGGCTCGTCTGCGTCGTTTAATACGTAATGTGGTTGCCAGTTCATTTGGGTGTGCTGTGATCTTGTCTTTATACTTACGGCTGATGTTTGTGGTTTCTTCCCGTACTGCGGCTATGCCTAGATCGGCATGTAGCAATCTGTTTGGGACGTACCTCGGTGCACTGACTATGGCGCGAAGTACTTTATTTTGGAATCTCTGCAACATTTCTATGTTGGATGTACTTGCAGTTCCCCATAATGGTGCGCCGTAAGTCCAAATAGGCTTCAGTATTGTCTTGTAAACTAGGAGTTTATTTTCGGTAGACAGTTCTGACTTTCTGCCAATCAGACAATACATCTGACTAAATATAATGTCCAATTGTTTTCTTTTGGCGAGAATATGTGTGTCCCAGGTCAACCGCCTGTCCAGGTGAAGGCCCAAGTATTTGATTGATTCCTCTTGTGGTATGCGTGTTCCGTTTAACAGTACCAAAGGCCAGGTTCCGTGTCTCAAAGCGAAGGCGATGTCCACGGATTTAGTTTCCTTGGCCTTAATTCTCCAGCGCTGTAGCCATTCTTCGAATTGGTCTAAGTGCGTTTGCAGTATCCGGGATGCTTCATGAGACGCTAGTATTGTTGTGTCGTCGGCATAGGTGGCAAGCATTGTTTGTCCGGTTTCTGGCAAGTCATCCGTATATATGGAGTATAGCATGGGCCCAAGGATACTTCCTTGTGGAACTCCGGATAATACAGGATATAATTCGTTATAGACTTCGTCGTATTTAACTAAAAATGTTCTTCCGGTAAGATAAGACTTTAATAGAGAACACATTGGATGTGGAAGAAGTTAAATTAGGATATAATAGTTCATTCCGTTACGGCCCCAAGCCACTGTACTATTTTGGATTGTTCTAAAGGCACTGCCGAGTTCCCCAAGTTTCCGACTTGACGAAGAAGAGCAAGTAGCAAGAGCTGAGAGCGCATGCCCAGTGGCTTACCTGTCACGGAGAACTTTGCTCGGCCACCACTCAGCAAGGTGGTCCCTGTCAGCCTGTTGACAGCCCGACACTGGTAGCTGCGGAACTTATCCTCATCATCCACTCGTCGGATGAGCAGCTCCCCAGACGGCAGCATGTGGTACTTCCCCTCTGCACACACAACACATGGGACGTTTAAATACTTCGACAGGATTGCATATTACGAAGGCACTAATGTGCGTATATTTCTGTAGTGCTTTAGGGCTTCACACTGCTGCAAAAACAAAGTATCTCATTTTCCTCAGTGTGACTGACCTAAGTGCATAAAATAAACAATTACTGATTTCCTGGACGTTATCAAGCGCCCTGCTTTTTACTAAAAACTTCTTAGGTATTGCATCCCGCCTCCGTCTCCAGGTAAAAAGCCTATTAAATCGGGCCAAATTGATACAGCTAGTTCCTAAAAGGGGGCATCAGCACAGCAGAAAAATTCTGCTGGACTTCGCCAGCACAGTCGGGCTCGAAATCTCTATTTGTTCCAAGAACTGAGTTGCTGTTCGAAGAAAACAGGACACCACAACCAACAGAAGGCAGGAAGAATAAAGCAAACATAACATAAACGGTCTGCAAGAGTTCAGACAAAAACTATAATTGCCACAGGAATGAGATCTTGCAGATCTTGCTCGAAATTGAGTGTCAGTAGCCAGTAGTGGCCAAACGTGGCTAGTAGTCAATGGCCAGGAGTAACTGGCATAAGGATCTATGAAACAGTCGGAAGCAGGTAGGAACGTGAACACGGAAGCTGAGGAATCTGGATTATTGGCAGCCGTTGCCAGGCAATCGTCCAGTGAAAACATAGAAGGTTGTATGAATGCTGCAGTACAGTGAATTGTTAAGGTGTTAATCAGTGAAACTATCGTAGTTACTCGTAGCTACGGTTTCTAAGGTTCCAATAAACTGGATGACGCAACCAGCCCCCGTCTCTAGTCACTCAACAAGTGGCTATATAACTGTATTCATCCTCTCAACAATTTGTAGTTTCTGAAGTTCTCACACCGGTTCCGGCATATAAAGCCGTGTAGTCCGTATAAAGTCAACTGACATTTCGAAGGAACACATCGCCTCCATCTTCAGGGTCGAAGAATAAGCTAAGCAAGGCAAAAAATGGGGCTATTGATCGGCACATGTTGCAGATGGCTCTGTAGGCCACTGGAGTTTACACTGGTTTCTTGCTTGGCTTACTCTTGGACCCTGAAGATAGAGGCGACATGTACCTTCGAAACATCGGTTAGCTTTCAACGAACTACATGGCGTTATACAGAAACACTTTATTCAGCTACGAGCACAGTGCGTATGCATTTCCAGTAAGTGTTATGGTGACGAGAGATATGACATCAGTGCATCAGTGAACACAGTATCA